GGTTTTATAGAATAAAATTTTTAATGGGGTATCTCAGACAAGCAGAACAAGAACTAGGTAGAGTTTTCTAGAAAGGAAATAGTAGAATATGGAGATATGGCCAAATTACATAAGGTTGGAGATCACATTTTAATTTTTAAAGAGAAAAATAACATATATCACTCTAATTTAAAATGTTCATATAACTACAACTTAGTGATTTGCTTATTAATATCATTCATGTGTTTAGTTTTTTTTAATTAGTGAATGTGCTGACCTGTGATGGACACCAGAGGGGCTATAAACATATCTCAATTTCAAGAAGCTCATTGTATAGTAGGGCTGATAAAACAGGTAGCGATGACCATGATATAATATATAGCATTGGCAAACTAGAGAGAAATGTCTCTGGAGTTTTTCAGACTGTCTCTGGCTGAGAATTCATTCACCCAACAAATGTATGAAATGCTACATACACATGCTGAGCATGTGTAGCATTTCATATATTGATCTGGGAACAAACAGGTGGGCAGAACAAAATGCTCTTTGGAGCTTTTATTCTAATGAAGAACTAGGAAGCTTTCCTTTGCTCAGCTCTTTAACATTATTGTGCACGTGCCTATTCAATGCAAGGCAGATACTGAGGCTAGAAGGAAAAATAAAGATAAATGACACTGATGTCATGGAGAAAGTCACATTTGAATTAAACGTAAAGGTCTAGTAGCACTGAGGAAAGTTGGGGAGGACATTCTAGGGCTGCATGAAGTATCTTAAAGGAGCAGAACAAGAACTAGGTAGAGTTTTCTGGAAAGGAAATGGAATATGGAGATGTGGCCAAATTCTATCAGGTTAGAGATCAGAATATATGTATTTTGCTTGCTTTGTTTGCTTGTTTGGTGATGAAGTGTGAGAAGAAAGCAGTGATTTAATGAAATCTACCTGAGGACATCATACGTATGCAGTAGGCACAGGTGGGAAAAATACCAAAATGAGAAAGCTAGTTTGAAGATTGTTAGAATAGCCCTGAGTAAAAAATAATTAAGGCCTGTAGAATGAAAGTGACTTCATAAAATAGAATGAAATATTATTTTTGAATGATACTGAAAAATGTACATAAGTGAATTATCTGACAATTTAATAATCGTCATTGTGCTATCTTTTGAGACATAGAAAGAAAAGAAATATCATGAGATTCAGCTAATGTTCCTCTAATATTTTTGCTTAAATTTATTAAGTTTACAGGAGAACTAAGTTTATTTGTAAATGATCTTAGATTAAGAAATGTAACTATGAACAGTTCTGAAACTCCATAGAAATACTCCTTTAGTTTGTTTTGATAGTAATTTCCATCAGTGGGAAAAAATTAAACCTTAAAGAACTAAGAATGCTGTAGTGGGGAAATTATAATTTTCCCCTTTTTATTTTATTTCTGAATCTCTCTAGAGTAAAAGCTGGCATTGTGTATATTACATTAAAGCATCTTAGACTATGAATGAGTCAATTAAGCTGGGACCTGTGGGTTTTTTACATCATTTTTCAGGAAACCCCTCTAGAATATATAACTATTTATGATGTGTCCTGTTTAACAACAAATCACAAACAGAATCTGAATGAGGGCCCACGTTCCTGGCCTGCAGGGCAGAGATACAGGAAAGATGAAGGTTCATGATGGCACCAGCCACAGACATGCTCCTTCAGACTCCGACCTCAGCTTCAATCAGAAAAATCACAAGATTGAGTTGCACTTATGTCTCATTATCTGTGTGCTGCAGGTTGAGAATAATTGCTGAATAAATTAACATCAGATCAGAAAGCATGAAATTAAGGACACAAATAAAGTGAGTTGCAACATGGTAAATTAAAAACAAGGTGAAGACTTTCCGAGTTGAACATCAAGAGTTACATTTACTAAGGGGAAATACAGTTTCAATTCACACACGACAAGAAATAAGACAAAGCAATATTTTAGATATTTACAGTCTGCTTTACTTATATGTGTAGTTTCATGGCAACAACATCAAAAATAATGTTTGATTAGATAAGAAATAAATTTAGTTGTCTGAGTATAAGAAGTTTGCGTTAGTTTGTTTCAGTCAGGACCCATTCATAGAAAACAACTTCTATGATATAGCAGGGGTCTATAAAAGCAGGTGAATATTCTAATAATTTTGAGGTGGTGTCCACTAGTATCTGATGTCTTCATTTAATCAGATTAAAATAAGTAATTTTTTCACTACTATAATTACCTGAAATTTTGTTCAAAACACACACTCAAATATACACAAATATATCTTAATATAATCAGCATAACAATATTATGATGAAGGTATGATTTGCCCCATGTTTGTGTGAAAGTCAGGCTTGAAGTGTTCAAGTAAGATGACCATGAATTAGTTTAGGTTTGGTGTAATAGGTTTACATAAATATACATCATCTGTGTCTTCAAGAGCAAGTTTTTTTTTTCTAGCTAAGGAGCTAAAAAGTATATGCAAAAGAGACAAAATTAAATGGAAGATTTGAGTAAGAGTTTTTGAAAAATGAAGGATCACTACAGACAGTTGCAAAAATCCTTACATATGCACAGCAATCAAAAGAAAGATTACCTCAGAGCAAAATGCTGAGGGATTGTTTCATGGAAGTATTGGAATTTGATTTGAGTTTTGAAGGAATTGAAAAGGAAGTGAATATGAGGGTACACATTTCAGAGAAAGAGGCAATGGTGCAGGACAAAATATCAACTACATTAAAATGGACTAAAATGAAATGGATATGGTAGTGTTCAGAGTACAGGAAGACAGATAAATGGTAGAATATATATCAAGTACCTACTGTGTCATGCCCATTCTAAATTTTACTTGTATTCATTCATGACACCTTTACAACATCACCATGAAGTATTCTTACCCATATTACTGATGAGAAAGCTAAAGTTCTGAATATTTAACTAACTGTACAAAGTCACGTAGTTAATGGCAGAACCAAAATTAAAGTAGGGTGGCTAGATCCATGGTCCATAGTCTTGACAATTATACAATAGTGTCTTCTCTGATAATATTAGTGATCTGGTACTGTTCTAAACATTACATCTTACTCCATTATGGAGGGTAGACTGGCTGCCTATGGAGCTTTAAATTATCCTGGGTAATGGGAGGTCTTGGTCAGAGTTTATTTGAGGAAGTTAAATTTCACAGTCATACTAAAGATGAGATGCAGACATGAAATTAATTGTATATTTGCATACTACTATTACTATGACTACTGTTAAGAATTACATTTTTATATTAGATAATACCATTCTTGCAGAGGAAATAATTTTACTCACCCATTATTATGATTCTTGTTCCTATAAAATCTAGCACCACATGTTATCAATGATGTCCTTTCAAGGTCCTTCCCTTCAGATGGAATATAGTCACCTTCAAATTCTGATTTCATTTTACAGTACTGGTGGCCATGTTCTTCACATTATATTCTTATTTCAAATAACCCTGCCCATTTATCATAGGGTATTATTTTTGTAAAATATTTTAATTCCTTTTATTCTGTTCAGAAAAACATTTTTTTCTTGTCCCCCATATGGCTGTCTCTTGTCCCTGACCCACACAGTTCTTTAGGAACTCAGTTGTTCTGATAAAACTTCAGAATGCCATCTTTGCTCCAGCAGTATCCTCTTTGGGTGCTGTCAAGGTGTGATACCATGTGGGCATGTACTCAACTGGAGGAAGAAACACATCTAAGCTTTGAAATAATCTATGTGCCTGCAGGTTATTTTATTTCTATGCTACATTTTCCTATGAGCATTCTTACTGGAGATGTGTGTCTATTTGAGATATGGAGAAAAAACAATCTCCCTGTAATACAGGCTGATTCAAAAGTTCAGCCAATCATAAAAATTGTTTTGCTGGAGTCTGTTTCTAGGGCTGGAGAGGGGCTTTTCCATTCTCATCTGTGATCAATTAAGAATGAATCATCAGTTGGGAGTTAACTTGTGGGGTAAATATTTTTATTTGTTTTTTTTTTGTCCCTATTGTGAAAAAGTTGTGTTTTTATTGTTGCTGTTGTTTTGTTTTTTATATTTAAAAGAAAAGTGGTATACATGGCTATCCAATCAACTGACATTACTTAGTGATTTGAGGGTATTTATTGAATACATATCGGTGGTATGCACATTTACCATATATAATTTAAAACTTGATTAGTAGCAACTGGAAGTTGAGCAAATGCTAGAAAGAAAGTCTAAGAAAATTTTTTTGCCAAAGTTTTTAGATAATTTGGTATGTGATATGTAAAGATGAGGGATAAAGAAAGGAATGAGAATACATGGGAATAGCAAAGAAAAAAAATTTTTTTTAAATCCTCAGTTATGTGCCACAAAAAATCCTTTATCTGGTGACTGAAAAATTATTTGAAATCCTTACACTGAGAAGCTTTAATACAAATTTAAAAGAGATGTGAAATTCTAGATATTTCTGAATAAAAGTTAGATTTACTGTGACAAAACAATCAGTCTCAAAGAGTTTTCTGGTCTTCTGAGTCTGTTGCTGTCCCTAGAACTATTAAAATATGGCACTAAAAAAATGAATAAAAGGAATACATCTGGCTATAAAAATTGCTTAGAAGGTGGCAGGGCACCTATGGCTAGAGTAATCCTATTAAATGTTAAACTTCAATGCCTCAATCAGAACTTTGAAGTTAATATTTCATTAGGATAAAAGGTGAAAGAAGAACCAGGAAAAAAAAATAGTGATGCTTCTTTTTTTCTGTATACATTTTCTCTGGCACTGAAGTCATAGTATAAGTTAATACATATGCTTGAAATAATATATAAAAATTGAAGTCCATTGAATATCAGCTTTGACATGAAGCTACTAAAATACAGGACAATTATTATTAATATAGGGAAATTATTAATAATACTACTATGGCTAGTTTTCTCTCTGTCCTGAAATTAGTAACCTACAGAAGAAACTCAGGTATTCATGCCGTACACACATGCATGAGGAATTTACCATTGTACTTACTTTTGGTCACGACGCCTTCTAAGTGAATGATGTTAGGATGATCAAACTGCCCCATGATACTTGCTTCACCCAGGAAATCTCTGCGTTGCTTGTCAGTATAGCCTACTTTCAGGGTTTTGATGGCCACAGGTAATTCTCTTTTTCCTGGAAGTTTCAAACGTCCACTGCAAACTTCACCAAATTCACCTTGTGATAAAGATGGAAAACACACACACTCATTTCAAACCCTTATCTAATATACACTAAAACTTACTAGGATATTAAGATTTAAACAAAACTGTGTTAAATAGGAAATCCAAACTTCATTATGAATGTTGATAGAAATAAATGGTTTATCAGGAAAAATCATCTATAGGTGATCATAAAATACTTTGGGGGTTATTAGTTTCAGCTAGCTCACCTACAAAAACTTTAACAGAATGTAAAAAAGAAATTAAAGCAACTGGCTGACAATCACTTCTTTTTTCCTTTTCTTTCTACTTTAGTAGTACCATTAATGCGATGAGAAAGGAGAAAGCTTATAGCAGGACAAAGGGGAAACAACTTAAGGATGAGATGATCTATGAATAGAGCAATTGAGTGCTGGAACTGGGTAAGTACTTTGTGGCATTACAAATATATATACACACACACACACATACACACACACACACACATGGAACATATGATAAATAGCAGTTGATTAAATACTATGTTTGAACATATATATACATATATATATATATTCTTTCCTGGTTTATTTTTATATTTTATAAGCCAGACATTTGCTGGTTTAAGTATGAGTTACACTGAGGGTAGCATTAAAATATGATCAATTATAACCACTCTGAAAGCAAGTCAATTATGAAAGATTAAAAGCATTTTGAGTTAGATTAGAATATTGACATATTACATTCTATAATATGAATACAAGTTAAAAGTCTGAGTTAAACACACTGTCATACCTGCTCCAATAACTCTTTCAATGGTGATGCATGAAGCTTCTATCTCCTTGGCAAATTCATGGACTGCTTGATTGGGATCCTCGTAGGTGTGTGGATCAATATAAGTTCTTACTCCTGGCAGTTTAACTGTAAAAATAAATGTACATCAAAACAGAAGTCCTTGTGATAAAGGAGTTAAATTATAAACGTTATTAACATGCAACTGTAGCTTAAATCCCAATTTTCCTAAAGGTGGCCAAGACCCTCTCCTGAGTTATAGGAGTCATTTCTACAGCTAGCCATCTCATTTTTATAATTTTAGAAGTAAGGACTGTGGCATGTACAAGAAATGCATGTGTGACAACATGTTGGAGTAGATACATTTTTCAACAATAATATTCAGAGCCACTCTCAGAGAAAAAACAAGACAATTTCATTTACTGAGCGGGATGATGAAATTCTAGTGGTTTACACATTGGTTTGTTATTCTGTATGTCACTTAAAATGTCATGACAGATTATTAATTTTGGTGTTATGAATATAATTTAAAATAAATTTCCTGGTGCTTTGGTCCAGTAAGACTGACAGAGAAGTCAAAAGAAATAGAAGTTCTACTTCTCACTCTTCCTCTGCTATGGAATGGCTTTGCACAGGATTCTGATATTCTTTGAGCCTTAATTTCATCACAATTAAAGGCTACCAATATCACAGTGATTTCTGGAGGATAAAACACATTAAACAAGAGAATAAGAAAATGGACTCGGTGCTTTGCCACATGAATTATGGACTTAATGATTTTGACTTTTATGGTGATGACAGAGTAGTAAAAGCAAAAGAAACTCTTCCAACCATGTACGTGGCAGATCAAATCATTGTGTACTATTTATGGACAAATGAACACATTGAAATACCACGATTAGAATTCACTTAAGCTAATTGATAAAGTTGTTTGTTATTAACTTGATTTTCTGTATCTCTCAAAGAGGTAGTCTTTCTCAAGTCATTCGAACTAATGCTGCTGCTAGAGCATCTGCTCAGAGAAATTCCTTCTATAAGCTAGGAAAAGAAGAAAAAAATACTGAGAAGTTTTATTTATTTAATCTTGTGGTGTTATTTAATGATAGATATATACTGATTGTGTTGCTAGAATTAGAATTGGCCAAGAAATATGGTTTGAGATGTAACAATTTTTTATATAAGCAAAAAAGTTTTATTTTAGTGATTATAATGAATGGATGCTTTAAAGAATTAAATAAGCCATTCAGCAATTGCCTGCAGTCAGTCGACAATGCCTCGAGCTCATATACTTTATGGGAATGTAACAGAACACTTCTGTTTTCTAACATGAGAGTTTGGGTCAGTTACTACAAATCTTCTCATCTGAAAAGTAACAAAAATAACAATAAAACCTCCTGAATTTTGTTCTCGTTTGATTTTTTACAATTTGCTTACTATGCCCATTATGAAAGTGCATCTTTTCCTCTTCTGGATCTTGTTTTGCCTTGCTGTAACCACACCTCCTGGAACAGAGTAAAAGCTACAATTAGTTACATCTCCTCATGTTGAATCACATCAAGCCCAGAAGCATTAAAGCCGGTTGAAATGATTGCAGCCCTGACTACTTGTCACACTGGTAGTGTGAAATAACACCAGTACCCCTTTTGGATGAATCATATTTCCCTAGCCAGGATCCCCCAACCCTGCCCAGAGATCACTGAGAGGTCTGAAGCCACCCAAACCTGATTTTTAACTTCTCCCCACCAACAGTATACTCCAGACAGTTTTTCTCCTCTTTTACTATTTTTTGCTACCTCCAAGGCCTCTTTCCAAAATGAACTGCCCCAAATATGTCTCTTACCATAGCATCTTATTCTACCCTTTTGTTTTATTTTATTGTTTTGAAGTCTTCAGTCGTTCCCCTGGCTCCTTCCCTGCCATGTCCACTCAGATCACTGCCAAATTCACTGCAACCTGCAGCTCTCCTAATCCCACCTCCACACCCCAAGTTTTCGTCCCTCTTGTTTTTTTCCCAGCTACTTAATAATTAATAAGTCCTTGCAACCTACAATTATTACTGACAAAAATTTCTCATTTAAGGTTCATTAATGACATATTCACCACATGACTTTATCTTAGTATTAAATCATTGATGATGAACTGAAATCCCTAAGCACTGTTTTTCTGAGGCTGCTTGCTCCTCCTTTTGTTTCCATGGACATTTCCACAGGTTCTCTCCATGAACCTCTCTGGTTCCCTACCATCAATCTCTCCATATCCATCAATTTAATTAATGCCTCTATCCCTCTGGGTTAATTCTTTTGTGACTTATACTCTTATTCCTCACAGATTTATTTTATCGGGGCATTCTACTAGCTTTCAAACTCAATAGAACTGAAAAATAAATTGGTATATTCCCCTTACTTCAATGCTGATCTATTGTCTTCTTTTCCTGTGCTGCTATGGCACTGGTCCCTTAAGATTAAAGCCTTTTTTCTTGTGTATATATCACAGGAAATTGTTGCCAGATCCCAAGCATTATATAACATAAAACTCTAGTTATTCTTTTTCTTTTCATTAAGTCTTCCACTTCACTAATTAAGGCTTTGTTCTCTTTCATTTGGATTATTATAAGGACTCTGAACTGTTGCCCTTGGCATTCTATGACTGCTTTTCCAAACTCCACTAGACATGGCTGTAGCTAAAGTACTGTAAAGAAGGTACTTTTCTTTTGTGTTAGCTTTCCTCTGCAGTCTTCAATAAAATAATCTAATGATTACTAAACACAGCCCTAATGCAAATTTCTTATATCATGTCCAACTGTTACCTTCAAGTGTACAAAACTTATTCTCAGATCTCCAAGATATTTCTCCAGGCTTCCACACATTTTCATATAGTGTTTCCTGCACCTAGGATGTTCTTCATAACAATTTCCAGTGATCAAAGTCCAGTTCACTTTTTGTCTTCTTCATGTTTTTTTTTCTCAGATATTACAACTTAATACCATTTTTTCCCCTTTGAACCCAATAGCTTTCTATACCCTTCTCATGGTGAGATTTCCTTTATATAATGCAACATGGTCATTTGAATATTTTTTGGTTTATTTACAACCTGTCAATTTCTTGAGTGTCAGAAACTAGCGTTCATCTATAAATTTATGCAGTGACCTGCACTTGGCTCAGAGTTGGCACCATAAGCATTTGTCACATTGATGAATGAATAAATTAATGAATGAATGATATTTTGATTGTGTCTACACAATGACAGATAGTTGGAAAGGGAATATGCTGATGAATACTAAGTTGATGGGCACATGATTACTCATATCACATTAAAACAAATGACTGAAGTGAAAACATTCAAATTATTTTTAGTGAAACTTTAAAGGAAATGAATTTACTATTTATACTATTCTTATAATAAAATTGGATCTATTCAAACAATTTAAAATTTTCAATTTATTTCTGAAAAAAGAAAATAAAGCCAAAATGGAAGATTGACAATATACTTTTACTATAAAGTTGGTTGAGAACTACTATGTGATGTGAATGAAGTCTCCAATTGACATATACTAACTAGGACTGTTACTTGATTATATATTCTAAGATGTTTCTTAAACATGTATATATCTTCATGTAAAGATGAAGCCTATTTTATTCTATATCATTTCCTAGTGCATAATTACATATTAGTTATGGAAAATAGATAACATAACCCACGCTTGTGACTTCTTTAAAAAAAATACAAGTATCTTCTTTTTTATCATGTTAAAGAACTGCCTTTTATTAGTAATGTATAGCTAGTAAAAATTGAGTAAACTTGAAGTAATATACTTAGTATGTAAAATGTTATTGAATGACAAAAAATAGACAATGGGGATTTGGTGGCTTTTCATATTTTATTCATAACTCTTAGATGCATTTGTCATTCAAGAGCCCTTAAAACATCTTGAGTCACCTCATCACAGTGAAATGGAGAGAGAAAACAAACACATAAAATCATATTAAAATTATACTTGGCCCATTCAAGCTGACATTTAAGCTATTTTAAAACACCATTCATAATTTTTCTAGTATTATATTATTCTTTAATCCTTAGTGTGTGTGTCTCTAGAGAGAAGTCATTGATACTTTTTTTAAAAACCAATGTTTTAAGTACAATTGTGTGAAATCATCCTAGATTTATGTTATTTAAATAACACTGACAAAAAAACTTTGTTAGAGGAACTCTAAAGAGACCTAAAAAGTATACAAGTTCTTGCAGTTTACATTAGAAAATAAACACCCATTCCACTTCAACTCTCCTAACTTCAGAAAAATAAATGATCTTTCAAACTAGTATCCTCAAATAGTCTTTATGATTAAATAAGCCTCATGGATATTTAAATTGCATGCAAATTCCTCACATGAAAATGGAAATGAAACTTTGGATCTCATCTAAAAAATGATTTGGGAATACCTTGGTGAGGAGCGGTTAACATTTTAATACCTAGGGTGAGAGTCAGGAGGGCAATAGAAAGGAGTTATTTTTGACTATGGGCATCTCTGGAGCTCTATAACATATACGGCTGCATATCACATTAACATATAAAATTAAGTTCTGGAACCCCCCAAAGCATCATTAAAACAAGCCTCAACAAGATACAGCAAGTAAAAGTGCAGCTGGCAGAGACTAGCACTCAGCAGTGTTCAGCCTCACTAAGGAAACATTGCAGAAAGCCTGTTCATTCATTCAGTACCATCTTCCATACCTCCTGCACGTGCATTATTTTAACCCATCAGACATACAGTCAATAAATACACCATTCTGTTCATAGATTACACCTCTACCTTCTAAAACCAACTTCTTTTTTTCCAAATGGAAAAGGAACAGTTTCTTCATTTTGCTTCAAATCACAATTTTAATGAGTTTTGATATCATTGTATTAAAAATATCTGTAGTGTTTATAATTAGAGGAATCATCCTCTAGTCATTAATACTTATTATCTTTTGGAAAACAATGTTGTTTTACCTTTTAGTAGTAGGAGTGGGCATGAGAAATCATATTAAATGTAAGCATAACTCATATTCATTAATATTTATTAAAAAGTCCTATGGAAATGCTTAATATATAAATACAACAATGACTTTATGGGTAATTTAAAAATCAACCTATTTTCTCCCTTACTTATCCTAAGAATCTGGGTCACAAATCCTTGGTGGTATTAATGTTAATCTTAAAAATTTAGCCCCAGACATAACATTAAATTTGCATATTTGAAATTTGCATAATACATGAAATAGTAAACAATCTTTATGAATGGATGGACATGCCAATAAGAAAGTTAGCTCTTGTATATAAATTAAGGATTTGATGATAAATTTTAAGTATGAGTGTCAAGTCCGCCAGAGTACCAAGCAATGCACAGAATCAGTCATCTGCTAAATGGCTAGTGAGGAAAGATGAATGAATGGATGCCAGAGGAGATTATAGATCCTGGCTCAAAAATAGCCTCCACAGAATCAGATTTTTCCGTCGTTTTATCCTTCAGAAATAAACACCGAATAAGCAGTTTTTTCGCCTTAACTCTAAATAAGGTGGGGAGGATTGTACTGGTGGAAGGAGTGGCTTTGCATTTTGATTTCTTAAGAAAACCAAGTTTATGCAGTCCCTAACTCAGAAATGGAGACTCCTTTATTTTTCCTCTATTTTCCAGGTTGATTAAGAAATATCTTACCTGTATTATAAAGCAATAATATTCAAAAGGTGACAAATTGCAGCAATCATGTTTTGCTTATAGAAAATAAAAGCTCTCTGTAATTTTAGCCTCATCTAGAACCACATTTCTCCAAAACGCACACTCACTTATAATGATGTCAACCACTCCATAATGCTGTTTTGAAGAATTTTACTGGTGGAATCTTGAAAAAAATAAGTTACAACTCCTTGGGAAATAATTTGACTTTTCCACTTCAGGATTCTCTCCAACTGAATGAAAGTAGCTTTAATAAAAGCTCAACTTAGCCTCATAAAATAAATAAGCATATGAACACTAGCTTATCAATATATCTAATGAATGCTGGAAATAGATTAAGTTTAGGACAATATTGTTCAATAAGAATGTGATTGAAAACAGTAAAATGGAACATTGTATATTTAGACCATCTTGCTTGCAGGACCTTAAGACCATAGACTCCCATTCATACATTCCTCCTTTGTACACTAAGGGTACTGGGATTTTGAGTTCTTTATGGATTTGTTACATAAAAAATGCAACTGATCTATTAATAGTTTACCGAAAATTCTCAAACATATTTCTCAAAGGAAGTGTACTTATGTTGGAAAGCACATTTCCTTTCCTTGGATATGGCAATGGAATGATGATTCTACTACACAAATGAGGCCACAGCCTACTAAGTCCCCATCTTACATTCTATCAAGGATACTAACCACCCTATGATTAATGGCAGTGTGAGAATTTAACTTATTTTATGCCTTATATACCATTTTTTAATTTCCATATTCTAAAAGACAAAGGAAAACAAACCTTAGAAATAACAGCTTCCAAAGTAGTATAGTACATATTAGTTTGCAAATTTTTCATTAATATATTCTTCAAAACCTTTCAGAATAAACTATAGGAAGATGAACCATTTCATATATTCCAAAAACTCAAAGATGAGTTATAGACTTTTTGATATTGAGTTAAAATTTTAATTGACTTAGAATTTTGGTATAAAAACACACTTCACAAAGTATGACATTTGAGGATTAAGTCTCCTGGTCTTCAATAAATTTTGTTCTAATGCTAGAGTAGGCAACTTTCTATTCATTTTAAAACAATTCCCTGGATGTGACCATTGGATTTTTCAATTAGAGGAGGCCCACTTAATATCTCCTGTAGTCAGAAATTCTATAGGCATTATAAAGAGGGATTTTAAAGCGGTTCATAGTTATATTTTACACAGCAAGCCTTCAATTAAAATGTTATATATATACACACACATATACATATATATGTGTGTGTATATATATATATATATATATGTTTTTGAAGACAAGATTCACATATACCTGCCATAAGCATTTTAAATGAGGATTCAAAGGGATGATTTTATATACTATGTCTCTTTCCTAACTCTACAAAATGGAATAGTGTTTCCACATACCTCTCCAGCAGAAATCTTGTGAAAATGAAAGAAATAATCTCTGTTAAGTGAACATGAAAATAAAATTTTGCTTACTTCAAATTTCAAGAAACCTTCAGTTAATAAAAAATAGTTAATTAAAAAATTAAGATAATGGCTATAATAGTTAATGTTTCAATGTAAGTCATGATCCTTTTGGTCAGAGAAATTTGGTTTTGTTTTGCTTTTGATCTCTGAATGATGAGAGAAGCTGTAGTTTATCCCTTGTGTGTCTCAGACAAAAAATATTTTAAAAATTAAAAAAATAATTTCTAACAAAAATAGAGTTGATTTCCTAAAAAATCACAGAATAGGTAAATGTGCAAATTAAGAATTTGATATCTCTACTTTCAGAAAAATGAACTCCATTTCCCTTGCCATTTGAATCCCACAGAAGTAGTTTATATGAAAACACTAGAAAGCATGAAACCTAATGAATGAAGAAAATATTCTGACATATGTTTGACTTTAAGAAATGCAAGAAAAAGCTATTTTGGGACTATGGGATATTTCTGATGGACTTAAATATTATGCTATAAATATATAATGGTTCTTGTAAGCATAACCACAAATGAATATCAAAGGATAAATGGTAATGTTATTTTAGAAATTATATACATTAATATCCTATGTACATTAAAAAGAGATTAACAATGGATATTTGTAAAATAAACTATTTTAAGAAGTGAAACAATTAGTCTTAAGACAGTAGTGATGAAATAAAGTTAAAGATCACTGATGAAAAAATATCCTTTAAAAATATAGGTATTCTTGAGGATAGGGTACCTAAAATCTAGGCATCTGGGTTTCACTCAGAAATATTACAAAAATACCTTTCATCACTGGGTAGATTTTAGTCACAGCAACAATAATGTTTGAAATATTAACATTACGTACATGTGTACAGATTTCACAATAAAATGGGTAACTAAAATGACAAAGGATAATTTGAGATCAAAGGCAATAACATGTAATTCCAATTTCATCTTATAAATGGCACACCATGCATTTGAAAACAAGTGGGCATAGTTCTCTGCTGGGAAATATGGTAGAGTAAAACTCAGAACTCCAGACACTTGTAGAAGCTTTAATATAACAGTTGAATTGCAGAACCAAAGGCCTAGATCAATTGTTTTGAAATTATACTTTCCAGATTCTGAGATTTCCACAAGGTATATATCAAGGTACTTTTGAAAGCCGGTATATCTACAGTGGGGCAATTTTAATGCATATGCTTTGCATTATATTAAGGTCAAAACTAACCACAAATATATTTATGAGTAGTCTTTTAAGAAATGAAAAGCAGTGATATTCCAAAATCTCAAAATGCCTAATAATCTCCACTCTGTAATTGTAAATATGTCTGTTCACAAGTGATAATGATATAATGTTCCTTGGAAATTATTTTAGAAGTAATTGACAATGCTGGTATGATTATACATACAAAATTAGGTGACAAATTTCAGGTCAAGATGTCAGTATTTTACTGACTTTACTAGTAAAATTATTCTTCTCAGCCTTTAATTTCCACTAGCTAAGATAGTTTTCCCTCAAAGCTTTATTTTAAACAAACAGTATCTTTAACTGAAACATCTCAGTTGAGTTGAAATTATAAAATGGAGGTTCAGGAAGCATAGCAATAAAAACATTTATGGCTTCCATCTTCCCCAGTAATAATTTGGACACCTTTCTTATTAATTTATGTAAGCTCAATTAAAGTTTTTCTTTTGCTTTATTTTGTTTTGTTTTACTAAGAATGCATTAAAGAAAATTCTGGCTCTTCCATAAATCCATGACAACTGTTAGCATTTCATTGAAAATTAAAGCACATCGGTAGCAAAATCATTTTTTTTGTGGCACACACACACATATACATACACAAACACAAACACACTCACTGTCTCCACAATTACTAACATTATTTGAAGAAAGATATTGGGAGAAACTGTTTGTTGTATTAGGTTTCCTGATCTGTTCTTTGTGAAAGAAGCTTCCACCTTCCCACTTTTCCTCTTTCATTTGTTCATTTTGTAAACTCCCTGCAATCCACTACGCAGTAGAAAAATATACTATTTTAAAAATCAAGCACTTCAAGTCCAGTTAAAGGTAGTTTTTTGCCAATACTTTCTAAGTCATGGCTTCATAAATGTATTCGTACTAAGATATCTTTGAGATTTAGGTCAAGGTAGGCCTGGATGTCAATCTTCTTTTATTCCAAAATGTAAATTCTGCCTATTCTGCTTCCATGAGGATTTATAACAACTATACCTGAGACTCAAGTAGAATGAGTAATTCAGCAACCACTTGGTAGTTTTTCAAATACAAACATTTCAAAAGATTGAGAAAAAGATATATGGATTTTATCAACCTGTGTTTCTTGACTCTCTCTTGTCTCAGAAGCTCACTGATATCACTCTGCCACTTCTCACATCTACACATGCATGCACACTCACTCATGCCATAATTTTTCAAATAAAAAAATGAATTTATACCTAGAGAATTCAAGTAACAATTTTAACTGCCTCCAGGAACCCTATTATTCTTTAAAATGCATTTCAGAATATCTTTTCTTGGCAAAGTTTTGACTACATGTAACAGCTAATACAGTAATACAGAATTTAAACTCCTTAAACTAGAAAGAAATTATCTGGTGTGTTTCATTTTTTTACAAGGTACCACTATTGTGTAGAAGTCCTTTTAACTCTGTGAACAGAGTTCTTTGATCTTATTATCTAGCCTGTAGTTTTACAACTATATACATATATTAAGGATTTGCATTGGTATAGCTATATATATATATGAATGTTTAGAATTTGCATTTATAAATAATCAGGACTATCCCATTTAAACACTGATCCCAAAAATGTGCATATATTTTACTTCACTGGTATCAAGTTAGGAATATCATTTCTAAATCTGAAATAATTCAAGCTTAAATCTATTAAGTAAACCATTTAAAATTATATGTTGTTCTCTTCTCCAATGACACATATCCCCACAGTGATCATGAAAATAGACGATTCCATTATGTTATGGTCATTCATGGTTCTGGGAGACAGAAAAGGTGGTTTCACCTTGACAGAAGTATCATTCTAATTTCATGTATGATATGACTTTAGCCTTAATGGAACAACAAAAACAATGACATATTAAATGTAAAACAGATTTAAACTTCCTGGTTTAAATCAGGGCCACAGTAACAGTTGTGGAAGAGAAGTATGGATGCTTGACATAAGGATGATGTGCATTTGAACTTATCCACTGTGAAATCTCTTGGTATGATTCCCCTTTGGGAATCAGTTTCATTCTCCTCTTCTGTTAAGGCGTAGCTGGTGTACTGTTAGAATGTACACAGATGGAAAAAAAGAAAAGGAATGCTGACGGTAATACATAGAGGTGGGACATCACATAGGAGTGAAAGTGGGAGGGAACACTAACCATATTAGGCTTGGATGGGCAACAGCGCACAGGGAAGAAGCCCTTCCACAGCCACATTCGCAGCAACTGAAAAGCAAACAAGAGAGCCCAAGATAAGGAAGAGATCCCACTCCCTTGATACAGCATAAAGACACTGAATTCAGACAGGTGTCTGCTTTGCTTTTCAAAAGCAAAAATCCCTAAGTGCACACCATTCAATTTCTCCACAATGACTTTTAAATTAGAAAACATTTTATGGATTTAAGAAATACAGAGCTGTATTAAATAGTTATTTTTATTTTACTTAAAACATTTATCTGTAGGAAATAGATTCTGAGCCAATGTTTTTAATTATGCAATTAATATAGAAATACAAATAAAGAAGCAAGCCCCTTTAATATATCTTTCCTCAGAAATTCCTGCAAAATTTATATTCAAAAGACATTCTAAGTAACCTTTCAAATACATGTTTTGCATAGAGCCTACAAATTTAGGGGGGAGAATAATGCCTCGCTCATCTGACCCACTGGCTTCTTATGCCAGTGGCATTATTTACACCGCCTATTGGAAATACTATGTTTACATGATTTCTCCAGTCACTTATGGAAACTACCAAGTTAAATTTACATTTTCATATATTAAAAATGCATCTCCAAATAAAAATTTTCAGAGTTATTGCTATATTTATAAAAGCAAACTATATATAATATATATACTTTTCTGGATATCACAGCACTCAAAATTTTTTAAACTGTCCACATATTAATTATAAAAAATCCAGAAAATACCAAGTGAATTGTTTAATAAAGTGCCCTTTATTGTTAGAAACCACATAAACTGATGGCAGAATAGAACAGAGGTTATTTAGTACTTCAATGCCTTCACTTTCCAGTATGTTTTATGAATGTCATTTCCAGGGATTTTGAGAGAACGGTGGGTGAGTTCAGCAATGGTACCATATACCAACTGGCCTAAGCTTTTGTGTAAAATCTATCTATTTTAAACTTTAATTACTTGAAATGTATTTACTTCATTTTAAGTAAAATGAAGGAAATAAAATACAAACATCCAAGAAATTTGGAAAAGCTAATAAATTCCAGTGGATCATTTCAAAGGAAAAGAATGTGATGTTTCATGTATTTTCTCTGGAGCATTGATGATGCATTAATATTTTGGTACTACTAAGTGTCTGAGAATTTGGGTGTGGCTAAAATAAAATCATAGCAAATAAAAATGGTTATTATGACATTTATTTCCATTTTGACTCCTTATTGTATTTTAAAGAGTATGATTTTAAAAAGTAATTAATTACACTATGGAGATACTGAAATTCAAAATTATAGTATATCAAAATTCTAAAATATTTAAATAGTAAGTAAAACACGTTTTTAGCACTTTGGCAGATCTTCATTTATTTCTTTATAATTACATTTATTTCATGAAAGTCTTAAACAATTACTGATATCTTATGAAACTTAATTTTTCTATTGTTTCTGTTGGTATCAGCACTCAGATTAGGGGTTGGCAAACTAGGGTTCATGGATCAAATCTAGCCTCCCATTTATTTTCATAAAAATACAGTGTTGTTGGATAGCAGCCACACTTAGCTCTTGTTTAGGCTTCTTTGGTGCTGTTACGACAGAGTTGAGTAGCTGCAATGGAGACTGTAGTGTCTACAGTGCCTAAAACATTTGCTAACTGGGCCTTAAGGAAAGTTTGCCTACTTCTTTGCTTAGACTGTGAGATTCTTGAGAGGAGGATGATTCATTGATTTTTTTTTTTCCACAGTGTAAACACAGTGACTGATACTTGTCATTAGTGTTTTACTGTAAAGGGTATTAACCCATGACACAACTACCTCAAGTCACTGATAATTATTAATGTGGACAGTCTGCATTTAAATGTGTAATTTCAAACATCACAGTTCCAACACAGTAAATATTAAATAATAATTTTGATTGTTGACAAATGTTTCTGCTTGTTCTTTAGTGATTAGGAAAAAAAGGCAATCTTAATCAAGTATAAACATACTTCCAATTGAGTGTGCAAAGTTTATAAACTCATGTTGAATTGTGCTTAGGAAGGCAGTAACTGCACTGTGATTGGCCATCACCTAATAGGATTTGTTTAATACTTGGTCAGTGTTCCAAGACTCAAAAAACATACTAATTTTAGAATTAATATTTTATTCAGGTTCACTTAATCAGAAAAATTGTAGTATGGTTTTTGCTTTACAAATTAGGACACACATACACACATGCACACACATACATGCAATTCACTATAGCACCCAATCTAAACATTTTAGTCCTAAACAATGTAAATCACCTTACTCATTGTAACTCTAATTTCTAGTTTTAATTAAGTTTAATACAAAATCTGAAATCATGTAAAATCCAACACATTCTTTTTCCTAAGTTATTGCTTTAGATTTTGTATTGATACTTGAACTTGTTTTAAGATGGCATTTAAAAAATCACCTTGGATAAATTAGTTAACCTCTTTGTGTTTCAGTTGACAGTTATAAGACGGGGATAATAATGGATCCTGTCTCATAGGTTTTGTGAAAATAAAGTGAGAAGAAAACGTTTATTCACTTAGATGAGTATCTGTCACATCATACAGTTGGGTAGAATGAGGGAGCTGCTAGTAGTATCATAATCAAAGTGATAGAATAGGTTCTCATCTCAGAGGAGCTATTTTTTTTTCATGATTCATATAATATTCCCAGACTAAGTATTTCCATTTATAACATAACTAAATAAACTAATTACCTTGAAGCCAATTCATATAATACAGAATGGCTAGCATAATTAAAAATCAGTTCCACAAAGTACATTTTCTAAGGATTTAGTGATCAGAGTATACTGTGCATTTATGTATTATTAAGAAAATTAAAACTGAAGCTCTTTTTCTATGAATATCTGAAGTGGAATAGTAACCCCCCAAATAACCTTTTTTAAATAAACTCTGAGGATGCTGTCACAGTAACACCTCAGCACCAGATGGTATAAAGAACATGTTCTTTCCTTAATCAATACTCAGGGAAGTACAAACTGAAAGTGCTTACAAGCCTCAGAGATAATTTAGAAATGGAAACTAAAATGTGCTAGAAATAGCAGCCAATCTAATTTATGTGAGCTATAGTTCAGCACAGGGTACATCTGCATTCCCATCAGTTTTTAGCACCTGAAAGTCTGTAAGTAACTGCATGTAGTTATAACAAGATCATTATTACTCACATTTAAAATAGTTTAGCCCTTCCAGGCTTATAATAAAAAACTGTTGGTCTTTCTTTTAACAAGATATTTCAATTTGTCCTTTACAAGATCAAAATATGATAACACAAGCTTTCCAGAGCCAAAGAAGATTCAAATAAAATTAGTTTAGCCAAGCCTTACATAGAGTTGATCAATATATGTATGAAGTGTGTCAATGTAAGTAAGATAACCTCCCTCCTACAGAAGCATGGTGATTATAACTGTAGGGAAGAAATTCTCAAAGATACTGAATCAGAGAAGCAAGACTGCAGGCTGTGGATAAATGATGACTTAAATTCTTAGTGAGATCATACAAGTGGATAAGAAAAACACTAAGATCCTAACAGATAAATGAGATAAAGACAGGAAGAATAATTTACAAAACAAGTACTTTAGATTTTTTTTTGGTTGCAGAAAGGAGGAAGAACACTAAAAGCTTCCATAATTCACCCATTTTAAATAAAACAACAGCAAGAAGATGGTAATGCACAGGGCTGGAGGAAACAGTGGAGCTTGCATCCCCATAGGAGATAGGCCACAGGGAAAAGGGGCCTCAGTCCTTTCGAAACCACCCTCAAAACTTATCAAAGAGTGATAAAAGTGTTCTAGCCTTTTGATACCAGTGCATAGCAAAATAACTAAGATCATGGAGTTCGTAGTCAAACTAGGAGCAGTTCTGGATGTATCCCTTTTAAACAGAGTAACGTAAAATGTAAGGTAGTAAGGCAATGAATCATTATAGTAAAAGCTTAGGGAAACTAGTCATTGATGTAATGAAATAATAGAAACCATACCTCATAGGGTTGCTTTGAAGCAAGAATTTGGTAATGCAATGTAAAGCTCTTTGCACTCTCTAAGGCTCACACTCAGCATTTAAAAAATTTTAATTGATATTATTATAATAATCTGATTTTAGGGCAAAGAGTGGGACACACATAATGTGCATGAGGCTGGAAGTAGATTTTAAAGGAACTAAGTAACTAATGAATATTTTGCAGTAAACAAAATATGTTTGTAGGGTCTATGATGCAATGAAAATCAATACAATATGATATATTTTTTTAATTGGGTAAAACTTAGTGCCCAGAGAAATAAAATGATGGCAGAAGAGTATATCAATCCTGTAAAAGTCATTGTGTTGGAGTGTTTCATTAATTAGTATTATAGGACAATTTCAGTGTTCTCTGATTTCAATATTTTTGTGGTTATTTCACTTTATAATTTTTAAGAAAATAAAGAATTTAAACAATTCTGATTATGATGCTTATCACAAAATATTGTCATTTACACCCTCTCAGTGTTCAGATAACAAAAAGAATTTAAGTGTGTAATAAATATTTACAACAAAACAAGCTGAGGAATTGTTCACTGATATTGTTAACTGACAATGTTAACTGTACTATGTATTTCTCAAAATATTTCACAGTGCAATACGTTTTGTATCTGTCTTAATTCACTGCCATTGTTTTAAGATATAGTACTGGTTTCCTGAAAAAGCCAGACTAAAATTCTGCAGAAATCTTTTGCAAAAACTAGGAAAGGGATAAAAAGCATAAACCTTGTAGCAAGTAGATACCCAGACATGAGCACAGAGTGAGTGGGGAGGGGTTCCTCAGTCAGATGCTTGCTTATATTTTACACATCTGTGCAAGATATTCCTGCAAAATGTGGAGTGAAAATATGGACAACAGACTAGCCAAAACTGGCTGGTTCCAACATGGAGGAGAAATTGACCCAAACTTAACCCCAGAATACATTATACATTCATTAACATAGTAAAAATTCACACCTTCCTGCTCCATTATTTGTTCCTATGGGAACCAAATA